GGGCCGGCCCGTGGCTCACTCGGTAGAGTGCGGTGCTGATAACACCAAGGCCCCGGGTTCGGATCCCACATAGGGATGGCCGGTTCGCTCACTGGCTGAGCGTGGTGCTGACAACACCAAGTCAAGGGTTAAGATCCCCTTACCGGTCATCTTTTTTAAAAAAAAAAAAAAAAAAAAAAGATTTGCAGAGGGCTGGCTAATTAGTTCAGTTGATTAGAGAACAGCCTTATAACGTCAAGGTTGCGGGTTTGGATCCCCAGTACCAGCTAGCCACCAAAAAAAAAAAATTTGCAGAGCTTTCCGGAAAATAGCTTTTTTCCCGGTCCATGTGTTGACTCAGGGAAAAAGTCTTTTCACCTTACTATGGTGTTGCTATGTTTGTCCCCCCAAAAAGCTCATGTGGAAGCTTGATTCTTAATATGGCAGTGTTGAGAGATGGAGCCTTTCGGAGGTGATTGGATCATGAGGGCTATGCCCTCATGAATGGATTAATCCATTCATGGAGTAATGGGTTAATGGATGAGTGGGTTATCAGAAGGGGACACTGGTGGCTTTATAAGGAGAGCAAAGGAGCACCCCTAGGCCATGAGATACACTACCCGCCTGTGGACTCCAGAGAATAGCCACCAAGAAGGCCTTTATGGTGGTGCTCACCAGATGCGTGCCCTGGACCTTGGTCTTTCCAGCCTCCAAAATGGTAAGAAATAAATTGTTTCTTCAAAAATTACCCAGTTTCAGGTATTCTGTTACAAGCAAAAGAAAATGAACTAATACACACCTCAAGGCAAAAGCCTCAATTTCCTCATCTCTAAAAAAGCCAGCTTGAATGCTTGCCAAGGACAGTATTAGGTCTCAGAAACCATAACTCCACATGGCCACTCCAAAAGACAAATTATCTGCCAGTATAATCGGCCAGTTACAGAAACCTGCAGCTTAACCCCTGCATCACTTACAGATGGCCTCGACTGTCCAAAGGCTGAATGTAAGCGATAAAGGGCTAAAACCTAATTCTGCACTGATGCACTAGTGATAGGAAACGCCTATCCCAAATGGGCACGTATGTCTTAAGATGCCACGGGTTTAACAGGCGAGAGCTACAAAACAGGTTCCTGCAAGTTTAGTTGCAACGAAGGAGGGGAAGGCTCGCACCCTACCCTGGTTTTGTCGAGCCAGACAGAGCTGAGTCTCCTCTCTGCCCAGACGTACGCCCGGTAGTTTGGAAATCAGGCTTCGATACGTTCTCAAAGGTACAGCGCCCACACTCTACACTTCGAGATGCCAAGCGCAACCCGCCTGGGCTGTCTGGCCCGAGTTCTGCTCAGGGTACGGGTAAGGAGACGTTACCCAAACCCATGCCTTTTCCTGGGTTCAACCGACAGGCAGAGCCGGGTGCTTTACGGAGCTCCGTGCCACTCACCAGTGCCCTGGGCGGGGGACGACACGCCCTTGGATCAGCCAGGATTCTCCGCCCGTGTCCTGCACGCCCCGCCCCACGAGGAATCCCAGAGACCGGACGGGAAGACCGCGGGGTCGCCTCCCGGGCTTCCCCCGTCCGTTCCCGCTCGCCCTGTGCACAGGATTTCCCGGACGGCTGATCACCGCGCTCGGGTCCGAGGCGCTCACCAGACGGCGCGGGGTCAGCCCGGGCAGCGACCCACCACCGGCCCACCTCCGACTGCGGAACTGGGCTGGCGCCCGGGCTGCTGCCCCGGTGGTCCGTTCCGACAACCCCGCGCGGCCCCCGGCCTCGCTCACCTGGCCCGCGCAGCACTGAGCAGACATCGCGGCGGCTGACGACGACGGGCGCTCCCCGCGCCGCTGCGGCCCTCCTGGC